GGCGAACCGATTCATTTTGCTTGGAACAAGTAAGACTTTGGAGGAGGCTCTTGAAAATTAAAAAGAAAAATAAGATAAAAAAAGAAGCAATAATGATTAATGACATCCCAAGTTTTTAATCAAACATTGCCAATGTTATTTAATTCTAGTATAATGATGTGAAACTGACCTAATGGATTTCAAGCTTGCAATCCAATTTTTTCCACCTTTGATGAAATTTTTGAATCCATAGAGCACAAATGGATCAAGAACAAGGATGACGAGAACACATCGCATAGCTGAATTTTACATGGATTCTGTCAAAACGTACTTGTTCAAAAGAAAAAGGTATATAGTATATACAGAGTAGAGCAAAACAAAATCCTATATTATTTATTTACTATATTTAGGCCTAATCTCTTTTCGTTGGATAATAAGACTAGACATCCGGTAACCACCCTTCACCTCCATGATAGTCATATCCACTTCCCCATCTTCTCCTATGTCATTAAATAACTCATCCATTTCTATCCACCCATCCATCTTCTCCTCCTAGGGAAATGTGCCTCCTATTGACCCAACAACATGGATGGCAAAAATATGGGTGGTTGCAAGGTGAACCTACAGCTATGTACATGGCTGAAAATCACTCCAGTATACAGCTGGCGAAGCAATTAGGGATCCAGATACACACTCTGGATATCTCCGCCCTTGGTTCTAGTAAACCTTATAGACAGCTTTGTTTGGAGAAAGTCGAGGCCTTTTCTTCTCTTCGCCAATTTGAATACAAGGTATGCTTTGTAAACTGTTCTCGGGACGGCAATCTTGTCTATCTTGCCATGGATTTCGAGCTAGCAAACGTCTAAGAGATCAGCCACCGCTGAGAACCTGAAATTTTGAAATTCAGAGAGAGAGAGAGAGAGAGAAGATTGAGCAGTTGAACATGATCTCCAACAGTTGGTAGCAACAGTATCTGGTGGTCAGTGGCACTGGTGGAACCAGATGTAAGAGAGGAGGAAGAAAAAGAAGAGGGAGAAAGACGAATTCGGGATAGAGGAAGGAATGAAAGACTTTGAGAGTTTGGGCGGATTGTCAAAATTTCAAATGCATTTCATCACTTTTTAGAGTCTGAACTGACATTAAGGTTTGGACTCCGTTAATTTCAAACGTAGAAAGATCTATGACATGTTCAAATTCTACTGGGAAGGACAGAAAATTCTGTCCCCAAGGGACAGACGATGTGAGCTCGGGTCGGGATACTGGAATCTAAGTAGCAAGTAGTAACACATCTATTCTAATACAAATCTGAACAGGGCAAATTTCCGTGTAATACACGTATTGATGATTTTCAAGAGAATGTTACAAACTGCTTAAAATCATAAAAAACACAAATAATTTGACCAACAATTTGGATGACTGATTTATTGGTTATAATTTTTTTTTACTGTATTACGTTTATTTGACCAAACTTTTTTATTGTATTTGTTGGTTTTGTTCTCAATTCCAAATCCCGTCCTCGTAGTTTCTTTTAATCCTTCATGTTATTGTAGTTATTTTACCTCCCTTTGTGCGCATGAGAGAACTTGACAATGGAATACAATGCCAAATTCCGAACAAAGCCCTATGATGTCCTCAATGATAAGCCATTCAGCTTCCTGAACCACACCTATCTCCGGCTCTTAATCTCTCACTCAAAATGTTTCTTCCTGAGTGACGACTGATGAGAATACAAGGGTTCACGTGTTCTATTAAGTGCCCTCGATCCTCTGCATTAACTTGAGGAGATGAATGACGTGTATGGTGTATTCTTCTTCATCTCCCATGTGATATCGGAGGGTCGTAATTCATTTTTAACTAATGTATTAAATAGTCAATTACCCGGCTATGTTCTCACCACAGAAGCATTATAGCGTGTCTACCTGAATGCGTTGCTTGTTCTTCACTTCAACATTGACAGAATCTCATATTCAAATTGCTTGGCAAGAGTAAGAGGCTACTGTTTTCTGCAAAACCAGGAATGGATTGAGCTGGAAAAAGTACTTCATTCCTTTACGGGTATCTTCTAGTTGTTGCATGGGATAAACAGGGAATGCCGATCCGATAATCTCGGATTCGGATGGGCAAATGTCATATCGGATCGGATTTGGATGGTAGAAGAATCCGATTAAAAATCGAATAGAACTTGGATGTTGGATTCACCCTATCCGACCTGATAAAAATCTGAGTCCAATATATATTAGTATAAATATATTCTATATATTTATATATTATATATTTTTTTATACATTAATGTAATAAATAAATTCTCCTAGGGGTAAATGAGAAAATATATTCCTCGTGTAAGAGAATAAAACATATTCAAGGATTTCACTTAACAACTTAAGCTTTTAGGTCGAATGGTTCTTTAAGATGGTATCAGAGCCAATTTGACCAAGTGATCTAGTGTTCGATTCTCATCACCCCATTATAATATAATTAATTAAGTTTCAGCACAAAGTATGGGTGAGCCTAGGCTGTCCACGCTTCAAACCCAATGGGCTTCGTGTGAAGGGGCATGTTAGAGAATAAAACCTATTCAAAGACTTCACTTAACAGCTTAAGCTTTTAAGTTGAATGATTTTTTGAGACCTCAAACCCCCAGTCGGCCAGCCATAAACCCTAAATCACTCAACATTTTCTTCTCAGCCCAGGTTTTCTTCTCTTGCCGTCACCTTGCCGTTCTCTCCTCTCTCAACTCTCTCTCTGCAACAGCCAACAAGAACAAGACTACAACTCTGGCTGTCGCCAACTTGCCGTTCTTTATTCTGCCCTTTTCTTCATTCTTGCCATTCTTTTACAGGTTTAACTAACCTTACAGATTACAGATTACGGGTTTAATTTAATCTGTAACCTTACAGGTTACATGTTTAAATTACAGATTACAGATTTAATTTGATCTCCTATTCTTGTTTGTTCTGAATATATTATAGATTACATATTATCTTTTCATTTGTGCTGAATAAATTACTTTCGTTTCAAGTAAAGAATTGTTTTATTTCAAAACTTTTGAAATAAAAAATTATGTTTTACAGATTACAGAATTGTTTCAAAACTTTTGAGTAAAAATTACAGAATTGTTTTACTTTTGTTTTGTTACAAATGCATCAGTTGGGGTCGGATTAAAATCCAAAATCCAAAAAATCCGATCGGATTCAAACTCAGATGCCCTGCACACAATCCGATTGGATTTCAGATCGGAGTCAGATGCAGCTAACATCCTGTCGAATCGAACTCGGATTTAGATGAATCCGATCCGAGTCCGATCCGATTACAGGCCTACGCGCACGCACATACGCACACACAGATTCTCTGAAATTCAAAAAAAAATAATAAAGTCAAAAGATCTGATCCCATCTCAATGACTGAACCGATGCCAGAGTTTGAACCTCCCTGGTATAGTGGCAAATGGCCCAAGAACCTTACACCCCATCTCTAAACCAATCACCACCCAAGAATCCTCTCCTCTGGGAGCTAATATCTATTTGCGCCGTCCCTACCAATAACCACAAGGCTAAGACCCTAGAGTAGGGACATCGTATCTGCTCAGAGCCTCCAGATTCAGTGGGATCTGAGTATGACAGTAGAATCTCTTGTCCCTAAATACCCTCACATTCCTGAAGGACATGGATTCTCCAAGGATCAACCTCCAAGGTTGAGCTTGACCACTCGTTAAGGAGGCATTCGATTTTGAGGAATAATCGGCCCTTAGGTGGAAGATCAAACCATTAAAGGCCAACTAGCATCTAGCATCCTTCTTTATACCTTATGTCAGATTTATGGGACTGACTAGTGTCAGAAAATTCCTGTACTATTTCCAAACTCCCAAGCTTTGATTAACCTAGCTGACAGCCCTCTAAATTCCTTTTAACTTCAATTACTCATCAACCTACCTTATCCCTTTTCTATCCAGCATTAATCAGATAATTAAATGTAATAAATAGATATTTCAGACCTAGTTCTAAAATATCCATGGCATGCCAAGATATAGAGATATTGAAGTAACCATAATGTAATAAACGGGTATGAATCCTCCAAATATTTTACATGCTTCAGACCTAGTTCTAAAATATCCAAGGCATGACCAAGTTATAGAGATATCGAAGTAACCATGTAGGGAAAGAATGGATACAAGAAACCAAATGACCTAACCTGAAAACATTCAGGACAAAGTTTCACAGCATCTGTATGACAGAGGTACCTTTTCTTTAACTTACAGAATAAAAAATTCCATCAATCTCACCTGCATGGCTAATCTCCACCTTAAACATAAGTCTTATACAATAAAGTATTATGAAATAGGTTACACTGAATTAAATATAGAGTTAGCAAGCAGTTTTCCAACTTAAGGAGATCATACCAATAAGATGAAGCAATGAACACAAATAATTACCTCAATAAGGTATGATTCTGCTAATTTGCACAAAAAAAATTTAGACCAAATTTTCCAATCTAGGAATAACTTGTTAGCTGCTAAATAGTAGTTCACCTCAAAACACAGAAGTTATTTAATGGATCTTTACTACATCTTCAGTCCTAAGAGACATAATAAAACAACGGGCTCTGTAAGTATACCAATGTTGAAAACCCCTCATTAAGCCATAACAGTGTCCAACATTCCATTATTACAAGATTTCCAAACCACTAATGTGCCAGCTTCTAGGCCACAACAACAGCAGCCTAAAATTGAGTAAATTGACATGATGATACATTCTCTGGGAATTTCACAAAAAACAGCCAAAGGACTAAACAAATTAAGAATAGCATGAGGAAGAGTGAATTAGGACAAAACATATTTCATAATATGTGACCAGCCCATAGTTCTCCATGGACTCATCAGTAAAATCAGGGATGGCAACTATATCCAATTTGGGCAGTACATATAGCAAATTAAAGTATCTATATAGCGCATTAAAGGTATCTGTGTAACTTCAAAAAATTAAAAAAAATAGGTGTTGGATATCCAAAAACACCACACAAGCACCTGAATTCTCAAATTGAAAATCATTAAAAAGTTAACAATTTTAAGAAAAGGCATACACTTTGTATAGACTGAGCATCCAGATCAGCAAAATTTCCTTGATTTCCCTTACAATATGCCTGAACCTTGACCCCTGAGGCCCTGAACATTGATGGAAGACAGATCGGGAAGGCAGGTAACCCAGTGGAAGAAATAAACGAGGTCAGAATACCCATGGTTCTCTACCATCGGACATCTCATTTTCTACATGATTAAATAAATTGACACATGACGATGACTCCTGAAAGAAGATTGTCCTGTGAGTTGTGATGCCCATCAAGCTTTTCTCTTCAATGGCTGGAATCTTGGATAAAAAAATCAGATCAGATGGCACATCCAATGTCATCTTGAATGTTGCCTAGAAACAATGTGATTGTCAAAGAATGGAGGACATATGTTATCTACAATTAGATATTTACCGGTTTTATCTGGCATTCATTTAAATAGCAATCCACAGATATGGTCATAATCCCATCTGCATGGAGCAGACGAGAAAATAAAATTGGAAATGACACAAGGGAGAAAAAAGATTAAGCATTGTAACATATAAATGGGGGAAGTAGAAAAAGCATTTATTAAAACATATTAATAATCGTTTAAAACCACAAAATTAAAACATATTAATAATCATTTAAAACCACAGAATCAACTTTCCACCTTAATTTCAATCAAGTTCTCCTTAGCATTTGAATACATGGCTCCATCGCCTAAGATGGATTCATTACTGGAATATTGATATTCAAACGAATTAATTTCTTGAAATGCTATAACATGGCTTCATATCTATCTTCATTAACATTCCCCGGTGTATCCTATTTGGGTTACGAAATCATGCTTCCAAATTCTAAGAAAAAGCAAATAATTGCGTTCACATGGTTCCAGAACGGTCAATATCAAGTAAAGTAATATTAAAAGCTAGTCGAAACAAATCACATAAGGAGTAAAAGAAAAATATCAAATATAGGAAAAAAAGAATCAAAATAGAAAAAGAAGATAGAAAACATAAAATAATGTGAGCCACCTTAACAGCGGGTTCGTCCTACCATGTTAAATTAAGCAGAGACTCGCGTCTAAGTGAAAAGTGTGTAATCGCCATATTCTTCTTCTCCTCGTTAAGCGCATGAGTAGTAAGTAAAAACAATTATTAATCCTAATAAAAAATTATAAATAAATAAATAAGTAAAACAGGACAAGTTCCGTCTATATGTGCTGGAAAGAAAGGGAGAAAGCATAGTAGATTACCTTTAGTAGAATCCTTTCATCTTGTCATTTAGGGTTCCTTCTAATCCAATCCCAAAATCCCCTCTCCGACAGGAAGATTGAAGAACGTCATCGGGTTCCAATACCATGATGACCTTTGGTCGAAATTCCTGATAAAAAAAAAGCAAAATGGCTATATCTTCGCTTTCTATTCTTACAATATGCAAATCCGAAGCCGAATTGTGTAGAATCTGTTTATACCTTAAACGAGCTTCGGCTCTTGAACCACACAAAACCATTATCAGCGACGAGATCAGCTGCATTGAGAACTGCGATGATATCCTGCTTGAGCTTCAATCATTAACGTTCTGGGACTGCGAATTTCAGTAGTCTCGAACTACCGTTGTTTCTATTTCTTCTCCATTCTTTTACACGCACACCGTTCAGTTGTTCACCCTTCTCTCCTTCTCCCTGCTGGCCTTCGTTCAATCCATTTAAGAGAAATAGAAAGTGATACCCGCCATTTAAGAGAAATGGAAGGTGATTCCCGCCAACACGCCCCGAAAACGCCCCACATGCACATCTCAGAAACATCTCCCAATAGACGGTTGGGATGTGCTGTGGGACGTTTTTGGTCGCTTTCTGTGGGGGCAGATGTGAATTCGAATCCACCGTCCTTCGATTACACGTGGAGCTATTCGCATTGGCCACAAAAATTCCGATCTAACAGCTGCACAAACTGAAAAGCTTGGATCCGGACAATCCGGTTTGGGTTGTATATGATCAGAAGCGTTATAAAACCGGATTGACTCGGGCAATCCGGTTTGGATGTACGCCTTCTGACCCTGCTAACGGTTTTAACATAAACTGCCCGCCCGACTCAACTACTTTGCCCAGTTGCCCTACAGACATCGTATTGGGAATTGGGAATCTTCAAATATTTCCCATTTGAAGAACTTATTTTAAAATATATTAAATTTTAGGGGTATTTTAGATATAAGATTATGGGAATTTGAAGATATTTTAACAATATAATTATGAAATCTTAGGTTATTTATAAGTTGGAAGAAATTCAAGGGTATTTTAAAAATTAAAAAATTAGAAAATATTATAAAATTTACCACTGTGTTTAAGGTGGATTCGATGTAAACCCATCATCGATTTGAGGCAAAAATATTTGGGTTTCTCTATCCCTGCCCTATCCCTGTTTAAGATGGGAAAAAACCAGCTTCATTTGTGGCAGGGCGGGGTGGAGCTCCAAGGGGAAAATTCACATCGTTATTTAGAGTGCAGAAATCTAACGGGTTCAGTTATAATTTATAAAACACACCCTTTCGACCGAAGTAAGGTAAACTGGATCCAGATTAGCCATGATAGTCTCCTTAAGCCACAAACCAGGCGCATTCTATACTTGCCTAGCTGATTTGAAATTCAGTGCTAATCCTACGGGTGTTTAGAATAAATTTCAGGAAACCCTAACGAGGTAAAAATGTAAGAAATTTATCTAAAACTCCATTTGACTTCACTAACTATGCTTAAAATTATCTAAAACCCCATCTGTGTAGCTCCTAGTTTTACCAAACAAAAAATATTTGACTGTAATCATAAAGATTTGCATTGATCAGGACTATCCATTTAATACACTAAAACCTAGCATTAATTTGCCCTCGTGTTCATTCTTTGTTTGCTCAAATGGGTTCTTCAATTGCAGGTTGGTGGTACTTTGGTCATTTGCAAAACAGCCATTACTCGAGAGTATTTTAAGCATATTAAATGGACCAATTAGCAAACTGTTCATATTTATCCACCCATCTATGTAACTTGTACCTGCAGCTGACTTTCCTGCTACAATTGCCTCTCTTTAGACTGTTCTTATCAAAAACATAAAAACCAAAAAAAAAGTCCAATTCCGTAAGAGCAAATGTTTTCTTCTGTTATTAAATTAGAGAATAGGCAATTTAACAAGATTTCAACCCTGTTGCTCTGGACTGTTCTTATCAAATGTTTACTTCTGTAATGCATTTGTAAATATACTATTTTGTATGAGAGCAATGTATAAACAAGTAGGAAGAGCGATTGCAAGCTGCTAGAGAAACAACTGTAGATCAGTTTCAGCCTTAAAATAAGAGATGGATGATTATTCTCTACCAGCCAAAGACCAAATGAGCTCACTGAGAGATTGCTCATTCTGCCAACTTTGAACCCACCTTGCTTTGTTCCTGATTTGTTTAATCCTTTGCTTCAAGTTCATCTCAATTGAAGGATTGGCACGTGTTGCAAAAAATGCCTCGAACTTCATCTGCTTTGTCATTGCTACAAAACTATAACAGAAAATATTTGGTTAAGTATGTCAGAAGGTTTCATTTTAAGATTAACATAATCTTTTTGCAGATTCAGAACGAAACGTTTCAAATATTATTTATGATGGTGTGCGATCTGGTAGCTCTCTGCTGGAGGACAGCTCGGACGGCGGACTAGATAGGTCGCTTGGTTGAGCTACAAAGAAAGAAAGAATATCAGAGTACCCTTTGTCAAAAAAACTTAAGGGTACTTTAAGACAATAGCTAAACAGTAAGGGTGGATTTAGTCAATTAACTAAACAGTAAGGGTAATTTAAGGAAATTGCCCTTTGTTTTAATATAAATGACAAGGAAAACAAAGTTTTCATTGTAAAAGGGGAAAATATGACTCAAATATATTTCAGGCTTTTCAGCCTGAAAACCTTTCCACCCATTTTATATTAAAACAACACAGCCTTAGGGTTAAAAAAGCCACCCATCAGTTGCCAAACTTTCATATCACGACAATATACACAAAATTGAAGTCTAGTGGGTAAACCAGAGAGTGCTGAACAATATTACAAAGCATAAAGTGATGATTTTTCGGATCATGGAATATATTACCATATACTAGTCAAAGAAGATCAATGAAGTGCATAGGTGAATGGCTGATGAATTGCATGGTTAGAAGTGAAAGGGCCAAATGGCCAATTCCCAATGTTGATTCTGGTTATCCAGGGTCTTGGGAGGGGTCACTGGATATGGACCAAACTTTTGGCAATTTCTTGCAGAAAGTGGCTTCTCAAACTCTAACTGCATTCTCATGCTTGTCATCTGAGATTTTACCATTGCACCAAGCAGCAGGTTTTAAAAATAAATTATATTATATGCAGTGTTTTAAAAACTGACCTAGAGGCTGAACTGTTTTCCCCTCCAGGTGGCAGGTCAAAGGTTCAACCGTCCAGGTTGAACAGGTGAACCTGTCACATCATTATACATACACACACATTCAGAATACATAATTATGTTCTGCATTTTTTTTATTTCAGGTTTAATTTTTATAAATTAAGAAAGCTAAAAATTGAGATTTAAGGCCAAGAAAGGAATTTTTTGGTAAAATTATTGGGCCAAGACCTTGCAGCACATAGTTCGTGGGAAGTTACACAAAAGCTAAAAACCCTAATCTGCCCACCAAATGCAAAGTTATGCTGTGTAAAAGTTTTTGCACCTCTTCGCTTTATTTTTGAATGGACTAGATCGATCATCTGTTTTCATTTCCACCATCTAGAATGCAAAAAAGGCACCCCAAAACCAATGGTCGCAATACCCAAACAGCTTATCAAATGCAAAGTTATGGCCTCTCAAAGTTTGCATATATAATTTCTATTTTTTCTTCTTAGGTTTAATTTTTGACAAAAATAACTTATATGTATATGATAATCTAGGCAGAAAATAATAAATTCATAAATACATAATTTTATGGATGCCCTCACATACACATACACAGATACACTTACATAGATATAGGTACTATTAAAAACTTTTAACCTAAAATTAAAAATACACATATTGTAATTTGTAACTTGTGACCTGTAGTCCAAGTAAAGCAGGTTGACAGTTCAATAATCCTGGTTGCTGACCAAGCCAACGGGTTTCTGAGTAAAGACTGGTTAGGGGTTAACCAATACTGGAATCATGACAGGATGATGAACCAGATGGTGTGACCAGTTGGGTCAACAACAGGTTCAAAACCCTAATTGTATGGAGCAGAATGTTGAGCAGTTAAGAAACAGCATGTCCAAAAAATGAGTGTGGTGTAAATGTGAATGCTTAGATAGATAAGTGGTAAAACTAGAAAGGACAGGGTCAGAAATGAAGTCACAGGAAGGAACCTTGGAGTAGCTCAATCAGGTAATAAAATGAGAGACAGTGGACTGACATGGATTGGTCACATGCATAGAATACCATCTACAAAACCCATTAGAAGAAGCAATATGTTAACAAAAGAAGTAATGTTGCTTTTCATTTAATACATACTGATGTTTGAGGACCTTATTCCATTCCATGTATGGGTGGCTACAAATATTTCATTCTCTTTGTTGATGACTACTCGTGGTATACTTGGATGTATTTGATGAAGAGCCGAGATGAAGTTCCTTCAATCGTGAAAGGCTTCTTTAGTATAGTGGAGACACAGTTTGAGAAAAAGATTAAGATTATTATATCTAACTACGCCAAGGAGTACTTTGAGAAGCACTTACAAACATTCCTTGAAGAAAAAGGAGTGGATTCACTAGAGTTCTTGCCCTCATACTCCCCAACAAAATGGGGTATCAGAGAGGAAAAACAGACATGTGAGTGAAGTTGCTAGAGGCTTGTTATTCCATAGGCATGTTCCAACTCGGTTTTGGGGGGATGCTGCTCAAACAGTTGTTTATCTTATTAACAAACTGCCCTTGCAAACCCTGCATCTCCGGTCTCCTCATCAGCTTCTTTTTCCTGATGAGGATACATTCCATCTTCCTCCCAAGGTTTTTGGGTGTGTTTGCTTTGTCCATGACATGAGTCCTTCTAGGCTGAAATTTGATCCAAAATCTATCAAGTGTGTCTTCTTGGGTTATTCTTCTCTCTAAAAGGGGTATTATTGTCATGACCCTTGTTTTGGAAAAAGGTATGTGTCCAAAGATGTCGCATTCTCTGAGTCTACTCCCTTCTTCTTTGTCTCTCGTCCTTCTCTTCAGGGGGAGGACGTTAGTGAAGATCAAACTCCCTTTTGTACGCTGATTCCTGCAACTGATGTTGTCAATCCTTCTTCTTCTCCTCCTCCTCCCTATGGTTGTAGTAGTCCTCCTGTCGTGCCTCCTCCTATTCTTCGGTCTTGGCATCAATGGTTCGTCAGACGAAGAAAGAGGATGAGATTGAATGTCCATTACAATTTGACCTCCCAGACTCAAGTAATTTGGATTATGAACCTCTTCCTATTTCCGATGCCTGTATTGAATCTATTGTTGAGCCTCCTCTTATAGATTTTGACCTCAATCTTCCTATTGCAATTCGTAAAGCAAGACGGACATGTGCTAAATATCATATCTCAAACTATGTCTCTTATGATACTTTGTCACCCTCTTATTGTGCCTATATCTCTTTTATTGCTTCAGTTTTTATCCCTCACAATGTTACTGAGGCAGTGCAGTTCCCTCATTGGAAGGATGCTATGAACCAGAAAATGGAGGCACTCAAAAAAAACCAGACATGGGAAATTGTTTCTCTTCCAGAAGGCAAAATTCTTGTTGGATGCAAGTGGGTTTACACAGTGAATCATAAAGTTGATTGCTCAATTGAAAGGTACAAAGCTCAACTTGTGGCAAAAGGGTACACCCAGTCTTATGGCATTGATTACCAGGAAACGTTTGCGCCAGTGGCCAAGATGAATTCAATCCAAGTTATCATGTCTCTTGCTGCCCACTATTCTTGGCCCTTGTATGGATGTTAAGAATGCCTTCCTTAATGGAGACCTTTAGGAAGAAGTTTACATGGAACTTCCTTCAAGAGTTAACATCCCTAGGAGTGAAGGAAATGTTTGTCATTTGAAGAAATCCCTTTATTGGCCTTAAACAATCCCCCCGAGCTTGGTTTGACAGATTCGGGAAAGTTTTCTTAAAAATTGGCTTCTCACAATCACAAGTT